ATATACAGTCCATTGTCAATGCTAATGTAATCTAACCTAACCCAACCCAGCCTTTCTTAACTAAGAAACTTCACCTTTCTTAACCTAACCACTACCTAAGCCCTACTTAATCTATCCCTAACCAATCCATGCAAAACCGTGGTTAAGAAAAGGAAGGTAAGACCGAATGTAATTAATTAAAATTTAAATAAAAATATTGTAGATCGTGTTGAAGGCGATTGTGATCAATTTCAAACAGTTCAAGTTAATTGCACATTGTGAGTGGAAGTGAGTCAGCTAAAACGTGCTACACGATTTCAATAAACGTCAACTCATTTCGCGTGGAGTGGAAGTAAGGAGTGGGTGCCATTTCCCGGAGGGAGACGACTGGAAGAGACCCAGCCTTGAAACTCAGGGAAGAAGCCCTCAGTCTCCGAGATAAAATTGATGGGCGTTATAATTCGTTCGAGACCCCGTCCTTGGTGTTTCGACCGCGGGAACCCGGATGCCGTCGGTCCGTCAGATGAAGGAAAACCGAAATGATTCGTTTCCGAGCCCTTCTTTAGAGCTGCCGGGGTCGGAAATTCATAACAGTTTTCATTTCAATGGTCTCACGGATTGACGAACATCTCTCAACAAAAAGCGATTGATTGTTAAAAAAAGTAAAATTGCCCAGAATTGACAGACTTGTCAAAATAATCCTTACTGTGAAATCATTTTTAAGTTTACGATCATTTTGACTTGCCTACTCGCTGTTTTAGTCTGCCTTGCGCGTTTCGCCTTCTCGCCATCTTCAATGCTCGATTCAATTAAAATCTCTTTACTTGTAGTTTAGTTAATGTTTGAAAAGCATGGAGTGACAAAGTTTTAGCGACCTACGTACGCACCTTCGATACCAACCACAAGTACCAAGATACCATCCAGCCAGTTGCACTGAATGCAACTTCATAGGTAGAAACAGTCGCAGAGACTAAGGGCGGAACTGCTAACGCCAGGACGTGCTCGGACTAGAATGATAATAGTACTGCTGAAAACTGCAGAGCCCTCATGCTTTGTGGTCTTGTAAAACGCCATAAGCTTTTAACCCATTTAGTAGAAGTAGTCGGTTTCCAGCAGCTATGACTTCACATAGAAGGTCCATCAACTCATCCCAACTTCTCCCAGTGTTCCATTTTGAATTAGTTTATTTCCTAGTCTAACTTTCGTTGAATTATCCATAAATATTGTTTCTGACACTCGGTGCCCTGCATACCACCAAGCGAAGTGTGATTTTGCTGTTTTCCCCAAATTTCTGGCCTTAACTCTTTCTGGCCCAATATTGGTTTAGATAAACCTTATCAAATTTTTAAAGGTCAGAGGAAGGGTTTAGGGCTGGGACAGCGTTGTTCCTAGGGTATCGTGAATTGGCAGCAGTGGATTTGTTTAGCGCCAGTGCTCGAGTTAATTCCTTACCTACAAATCATCATAATAATCATCAACAAATTATCATAACCTATTCTGTAACCTCCAAAACATTCATCACAAAGGGGGCAAACTATTCCTTAAACTATAAATATTTAACGAAGATCATGAGAACGTACTTTTCTTTAATGTGCGCTCAAGGGTTTGATGGTGGGGCGCAGTCTTGTTCCAAGAGTTTCAGCCCATGAATTGGAAACGTTGGTTTTGTTGGCACCTAAACTGAATTTAACAGATACAAATCATCATAATCTATTTTATAGCCTCCAACATGATCCTTCATCAAAAAGTAGTGGCTTTATCATTGCAAAGTTTCCTTAAGTTATAAATATTCTAAATAAGTCATTAAAACGCCAATTTCGTTTAATATGGGCTTAAAACAAGATGTTTAGGCGGGCGGGGTTCATGCAGTTTCTGTCTGAATATTGGTGGCCTGGATTTTTTGGCGCCAAAGTTTAAGTCTACGGATACAAAACACCATAACCTATCTTCGATTGCCCATCATGGCTCTTCACCACCAGAAAGAATAATTGACAAAATTGTATCTTTTTTATTTGATTTGATTTTTTTTTCAGCATCGATTTATCACTTAATGGGCTAGAAAGGGCTCATGGAATGCCAAACAACTTTGATCTTTATCCCCGATGGATTTGCAGCCGTTCTGGTCCCCAAGGCGGAAAATAAGTACGTCCTTGGTTGCAACAAATGCGGATGAAGGATATTCCTTACGACCAGGAACAGTTGCGTGCAAAGGAGCACGCTTTTGTCAACCAGGGACATGTTCCGGAGAACCTTTTCTCAATTCGGCAGAATGGACGATCACTCATCCTGTCTGATCCCAGGTTCACATGCCACCATCGCCGGTGCGATTAACGTAAATGCGAGCTCAGAATGACAAAAGTGTTATTCAGAGGTGAAAAAGAATGTAAGGGTTCGTAGAAAAAAAAGATAAACAGCATACGGATAACGGAAAGAGGTAGGCCTTATCGGACAAACTTCTTAGACTGAAAAACTTCGGTATCTGTTTAGACTGTTTGGTGAGGGGAAACACCGCAACCCTTATCATTATCATTTCCAAACGCCAATTCTATCCAAGCCTTCTTATATTTGTTGTATGTAAAACAAATGTCATGAACTGAAGAAGTTCGTGGCCGAGCGGATTTTTGTCCTAAGGGAGGAACTGTGTCCAACTGATGAGGGACGAGGAGTTAACGGCACTTCTGGACGTCCTCTAGAAAAAGGACTACCGTTCGTTTAACACGACAGATACAAGAGTTTAATCAAAATCAAGTTTTTTTTGTCGGGTCAATGTAAATTATGGTTTAACCCCATGAAAGGAAACCGAATTCTTGAAAACTGCTTTTTGCTAATAACAGTCAATTGCCCTTGTAATGATACCCTAACCTGTCACACTGGCCGAATATAAATTAATCAAAAGGTTATTTCTGGAGACTCCAATCACAAGGTTACTAATGGTACTACTAAAAGTTCCTCTTCCATTTGGCCAGCGAACATAAAGGCAGGATCGTTTCCTGCTTTTGGAAAGAGTCCTGTTTCCAGTGACTAATCAACAATACGTCATATCCTTAAATACACAATAGATTACTTATTTATGACATTATGGTCGTTTCTGAACAATTTCGCCCACTGTTTTGGTCTATAAAGCCCCACAATACAAAAAAAAAAAAAAGACACCTCAGACAGAATCCTTCAAACAGGCAAAGAAGAAACAACCACCACTAAAAATGAGAGGAGAAAAAACGCCTCTGACAGACCAAAACTGTGAGGTTAGGCGAGCCAAAATGGGAAAACAAACAAGGATCACAATGAACTAAACAAACCCAGACTAATTTCGTCAAAGAGAGCAAGAACCAAAGACCAAAAACCACGCACGAAACCACCACTCAAGAAGGAGAAAAACGAATCTCTCCTGAAAGGCCAAACCGGCGAGGTTAGACGGGATAAAATTTAAAAAAATAATAATAATAATAAACAGGAATGCAAGGAACAAGAAAAAATAGACTGAATCTGTCAAAGATACTCATAACAGAGATAAAAACTCATAAAACACAACTAAATATGGAGAAGAGACGAACCTTCAAAGCGGCAAAGGAGCAAATACATAAAGAACACGCAATACCACACTGAAGAAGAAGAAAAGGCAAAACGCGTCTCACAAACCAATAAAGAAAGAATAGGCGCGCAGAAATTGGAGGAAAACGAGATTCGTGATGAACGGCAAATCTTAGCCTGGATCCGTAAAGAGGCCAAGGAAAAAAAACACTAAATGATAAAAATCGAGAAACACAATAAACAGAAAAAATCCAGAATGAAATCGTCAAAGAAGGCAAGAATCAATTTAAAAAGAGCCAAAACCGCAAATGAAAATGAAGAAAAGCAATAATTCCCTCAGAGAACACAACAGCGAGATTAGGATGGCCAATGGAGGAAAAACGAAGATCAAATTGAACAAAAAAAAAGCTAAATTTGTCAAAGAGGCCAAGTAGAAGCAAAGACATAATCGCACAAAACCACCAGTGAAGATGGAGAAAGAGGAAACGCGCCTAACAGGCTATAACAGCAAGGCTAGACGGGATTCAAAACAATCCCGACTGAATCCGTCAAAGATTGTCCGAAGCAAAGACAAAACGCATAAAACCACAACTGAAGACGATTGAGAGACGAAACGCATCAAACAAACAAAAGTAGTGAGGTTACACATGAAAAAATGAAACACACCGAGGAGAATAATGGAAAAAAGGACCAGCAAGTTAAAAAGACCAAAATAGAAAAACCGTCGTGCAAACGAAGGAAAAACAGAATCCCTCAAGAAGCAAAGAGAACGACGAGCACTCCTTTCCCCTTTCAAGCGCATATATTTTTCCAGTCCAAAAACCACCACTGAAAATAGGGAAATGTCGACAATGTCTGATGGACTGAAAAAGCGAGGTCAGTGTGGTCAAAATGGGAAAAAACGGGAATCAGAATGAACGGAAAAAAACACTAAATTGAATCCATCAAAGAGACCAAGAAGCAAACGCAAAAAAATGCAACCAAACTATCATTGAAAATGGAGAGGGAGAGATAGCAGAAACGCGTCTTACAGACCAAAACAGAGAAGTCACCCGGTGACCAAACTCTCCATTTCTTCCAGTACGACCTAAAAGACTACTTATGGAATCGACCCTTCATTATTTCTCCAAAAGGTATAGTGGTGGATGGAAACAACCCACAAAACCACAACTGAAATTGAAGAAAAACCGAAACTCTTCTAACAGGCCAAAAGAGGGAGGTTAGACGGGAAAACATGAAAAAGACTGAAAACCAAACAAACCCAGAAGAAAAAGACTAAAAACCATACAATCCACAAATGAATGTGGTGAACAGGCGCAACCAGTTTGACAGACAAAAATAAGGTTAGGTATTCCTGTCTATTTGTAAAAAAACAACCTGCGACGGAGGGCAGAAGATTAAATTAATACTGGAAAATTAAAAAGAAAACAGGTGCTCTAGTCAATTGAGAACAATTGGGTCATTTATTAGAAATGTACAGATCTAATCAATTTACTGCTCGGGGCCGAATTGCACTTTATGACGTAGCAATACGGGAGGGCTCATTCCTTCCACTTAAACCTTCTGACACGGAATAGTTATTATTGAGATAAATTTGTACTCCGCTCCCTTTGGATTAGGGGGAAATGCCGCCGATAATAATTCACAATTTTGCAACTGTTTTTATTCGCCGACACGTCTGCGACTCGACGAATCACTATATGGCCTCACCCGTTTACGTCAGAATCCGACGGAACGTAAATGTTTGCAAGAGTCGAAAGGAAAACAAATTTCAATTCAATCCAGGTATGTAGAAAATAAACATTCGTCTTAAATAAAGATTACTCTTTTTCCAGCAAAAGATTCCTACTAAGAAAAGAAATATTAGTCGATTACTCATAGGGACAAAATTTCAACTATGTTGGCATTTGCATAACGGCCGGGACTTTTTCTCTTTTACCTCCCCAAACTAGCATTCTCCAAATATTAGCACATATTTTTGACCAAACAAAAATGCACAACGGTTTGCCAGGTCTCCCAAATGTTTGTGAGCTATGGTGTTGTTTATTCAGGGCTAAAGAAAGGCATAAAAGGTCGAGTACTGCACCACCCTATTCGACTGATTTGTAAAAAGCAAAGAATGAGGGTGTAAGTGTGTCTTGGTTTAAAAACTACATGCGTTAGAGGTTATGCGAGAAACTAAATAATATTGGGTTGTCCGGTAAAAATGCATATTTATGGTTATGGCAACTTTTCTATACCCTCTGGAAAGAATTTTGAGTATTTGTCATTAACAAATTCTGTTACCTTTCTAACTACTTTTGATCAATAAATTTTGTATGTTGTAAAACGTTGTCCATGTGTCAATGGTAGTCGGTGTCAATAGCGAGAGGTCTGGAGAATAGGCAGGGTGAGGCAGACCATCATATCCAAGATCCAACAGTTTTCGTGTTGTCACATGTGAGACATGGGGCAGAGCGATGTCGTGTAACAGAATCGACCTTTTCCTGGCTGGCTTCAATAATGCCAATATTTGCTGCATTGCGTTTTGCTTTGAGAGCAATGCATTTCACCATTGACTGTTTCGCCAGTATTCAAGAAGCTGTAGTAAATCAGCCCAAATGAAGCCCACCAAAGAGTCATCATCACTGATGAGGTTGTGGGCTTTGGAAAATGTGGTGCTGCTTCTCCTTTCTCGATCCATTGTCGAGAATGTCTGCTGTTATCGTAGATCAGTTTTGATCAAAATTTACTAACAGGAAAAGGTTTGTTTATGTTGCTGAAACTTCATAACGATGATCTTTTTTACAGTCGTTTAAACTTGAGGAACCAAAATTTCGAGCTTTCTCACATTTCCAGTTACCTTAAGATGGTCAACGAAGGTCCATTTGCTAGCTCAAACATTCTTTGCAACTTCTCGAAAAGTTGTTCTCGGATTTTCTTTGACTAAAGCTGGCAGAACATCATCATCTATGGAAAAATCTTTCCACGACCTTCTTTCTTCCGCCCAAGTCTTCAGAATGAAGAATCAAATCAAAACACGTTTTGGTTCTGAAATTTTGCAATTATCTCAGAAAAATTTAACATTTTGACAAAATATGAAAAAGTAAACGTGGTAGAGTATTAAATTTGCTAAAAATGAACCGCTTAAAAACCTTTTTAGACTTGATACGTTCTTCGATATAAGTCATAATCTAAGCACGGTGCCCACTAATGAAACAACACTAATAAAATTTTACTCTTTTCATTTTACTACCTGGTTCATTGTCAAGTAAATGTAATTGGAAAGGAAATTTATTTCTGTATAACTGTGACTTAGCCAGGGTTTTAGACAATGCCAATAGTTTTCGAAATACTTACAAAAATGAACTATCAAACCAAAACACGTTTGTTTCTACAATTTTGCGATTATCTCAGAAAGCTTTAAAATTTTGAAAAAATATCACAAAGTAAAAGTGGTAGAGGATAAAATTTACTTTAAAATGAACCTGTTTAAAATATGAACCTCTTAGATATACAGTCATAATCGAGGAATTTACGTTTTTTTCCAGGTACCCACTAAAAAATCGCATAATGCCATGGCAAAATTTCACCCTTCTCGATTTCCAAACTAGTTGATCGTAAAGGAAATTAAATTCTGTATTACTTTGTATTAGGCAGGTTTTTATACAATGTCACTAGTTACCTGAAATATTTAGAAAAATGAAGTATCAAACCAAAACACGTTTTGTTTCTAAGATTTTGCGATTATCTCACAAACCTTTACAATTTTGACATATTATCACAGAGTAAACGTGACAGAGGAAATTTTTTTTTAAAATGAACCTGTTTAAAAAATGAAGCTCTTAGATATACAGTCATAATCGAGGAATTTCAAGGTAGCCACTAAAAAATCAAACAACGCCATTCAAAATTTTGTTTTAAAATGAACCAACCTATTTACCACCTTTTTACGTTAAACAAGCCATTTATGATTTTTTCCACTGTGCCCCATACTCAATCAGACCAACCACTGACGAAATTTTCACCCTTAAATTTACAAACTTGTTCATTCCAAAAAAAAAATTAATTTTGTACTGTTTGGGCGATTTCAGTCGTTCGGAAATATTTTCAAATATGAAAAATCCAACCAAAACATGTTTTGTTTCTCCTTTGACTGATTAACAAAATATGACGAAATAAAAACTGGTGAAGGGTTAAATTTCCTTTAAAATGAACCTCTTTAAAATCTTTTTAGTCTCGATATATGCCAAGATTAACAGTCATAAAGAACCAATTCGAGATTCTTGCTACCTACGCATCGTTATTTAGGACCACCTTGTATAGTGATTATAAATTATTTCGTAAATGACTGCAGTTAAATAAAAAATAATACGAACTGAAAAACCAGGCCTCGAGAACGAAAAATGAAACTGATGACTCAAAAATTAATTACGAAGGGAGGAGATTGTTTATTCAAGTCAATATCTGTATATCAACATGTAGCAATCGTGATTTTAAATTATTACCACAAGTAAATGGGGCCGTAATCATGGTCAAGTCGTAAACAAAAGCCAATTAAAGGCGCATCGGATTACACGGCGTTGTATAAAAGGAAGAGGGAATCGTAAATATCTTTCCAACCGCAGGTGGTAGCCTCTGTTGCATAATCATTTCAAGATCCATTGATTTAAACAGATAGTCAACCAAGATGCGATTTTCATTTATAATTCTTCTTTTGTTGACAATTTGAGTTTTTCCTCTTGACACAAGTTCCAGATTATTGTACAACAAGGCCCCAAAAGCCGAATGATGTCCAACTGAATGTCTAGAAGGTTCAGTCTTCAGTCATTGACATATTGGATGAATATGAGCTGTTTATTAACCTTTAACGACAAATAAACATTCTTTATTTGCTATGTTCATACAATTTCTACAGATAAATGAAGCCTACGAACGTAGGATGAGTGATTTCAACGATTTTGTGATACTAGTTTAAGCAAGTAAGATTTTAGACACAGAACGTTCTTGCCAATGGGCCCTTCGAGCCGAGAAAAAATCGTGTTAAATGAGATTAAAAATATCTAATTCCTACCTAACCTTATTCACCTTAGCCATTCGTTACATAACCTACTCATTCCAGACGTAAACCAACTTAGCCTAATCAGTCCTTAACCATAACTCTACCCAACCTAACCTTACACAAATCAATCCACAAACTGCCCACAAAAATCGTGTATCTACATAAAAACACATTCATGTTAACAATACTAGACACATTTCCGACCGTTCTTGCCAAGGGGCCCTCGGAACCGAAACAGATTGTATTAAATGAGCTTAGATATATATAATCCACCCCTAACCTTATCTAACTTAGCCATTCCTAACATAACACAACCTAACCTAACCAGTCCTTAACCATAACTCTACCTAACCTTGCCTAAACAGAAATCAATCCACGTAATGCTTACAAAAATAATAATTTGTAATATGGTTTTATACCTTTCTTATCCATATATTTTAAGATTTGTTATTTTACCTAAGATAAGAAAATAATAAGCAGCATCGTGTTAAATGAGATTACACATATAAAAAGTTTAAAGAAACCTAAAAGCGCACTGATTAAAGCAGGCCAAAAATAATTATTTTGACAAAAAAAATCGAATTTGTTTTAAGCACTTATTGAAGCTTTTAAATACAAAATTTTATGGCAATCAAAAATATTACATTTTGGCTGGAACCAGGAGCGTTTTGTTCCTAGGCAATGTCCGTTGTTCTATTTAAAAAATGCATAACTCCTCTACATTTTGTCCAAATTCAAAGTTTTTATCCACCGTTATAAAGCGTAAAGCTTGTTTCGATCTATGTCTCAAAAATTTCTACCTAGGGGTTTTTTGGAGATCAGAAAACAAATATTAACTTTGTGCGAAGGTCTTTTGCTTATAGGGATTGAATATGTTGGATGTTGGAACGTTATGTTGAACCCCAAAGATCTATGCGGCATGTCCAACTGGATCTCAAAATTGTTGTATAAATGAGTCGTTTATTTTGTAAATTCAGTTTTGACCGTTTATCCAGCAATGTTTTGAGATGTCTGAATCATCTGTTTGGGTCTAGTCTTTTGAGTCGCGTGTGAGGGTTAAATGTAAGTCGTTTGTCAATGTATATCCGAAGTTAGCATAGAGGAATACTATTGTAGTAGATGGGAGCAGTGGTTATTCTCCGAAAGATGAAAGGTGTTCACATTTTTGTATGTTTCATGTCATCTTCCACTGTTTGAACCACTGTTCAAGGGATGTGACACAGCTTTGTAGGTTCCTGGTTGAATAGCAGTATGATCCGCATAGGTAGTTAGCATCGTTTCTGGAATGTCTGCAGTATATACCGTGTAGAGGAAATGGTCTTGGATCTGTGTGATACCCGGCTGATAGAGAGTGACCACAGATGACTTGAAGGTGTCATTTGGGTGGGTATGATTTTTGGATCACGTACTAGATAAAATGGAGGGCTTTTTTAAGCTTCCAGAGGAGCCCGAGTGCCAAACCCGATCGAAGGCTAAACGTCACATCCAGGAATACACCAGAGCAGTACTCCTTTTATTTCAAGAGCGGTAGTGATGACGTCTACAAAGCGACGGCACTGCTGAACAGTGGAATGAGAACGTCTGAACCCAAACTGGTGGTCAGGGATAAGGTTATGTAAGATTGAAGGATGGGGAGAATGTGTTTGATCAGGAATTTTTCTAGGATTTTGCCCATTATAGGGAATAGACTAAATGCACTCTTACATCTAGAAAAAGCAGCTTTTAACCCTTGAGTCGTGACATA